TGTGGGTGGTAGGATTCTGAGTCCCTCCCCCGGTCTGTGAGGTAGATGGTGCAGCCGGAATCAACCCCGGCTGAGCCAATGTACCAAACATGCTCAGGAACTGTGCTAAGGTCTCCAGAAGTCCGAGGTAACAGCAGGCGCCTCCGGTACCTGCCCCCCAACTGGAGCTACTAACGGCTCCTCAACAGCTGCTCTGGTAGGTGCTCTAGCTGTGGCACATACTCCTCGTTGGCCTATGTCTCTGCCTCCAGCGACCCCTGCTCCGGGAGCAGCGTCATCGGTAACTGCAGCGCGTGTCCTCACGATCTGTGAGAGAATGGAATGATAATAGTCCAGACACCGAGATCAATAAGCTCGCACGATAGGAATGAAAGAAGTGAGATCGTCCTAATAGTTCCGTAGCCTCTCGAAGATAAGTACAGACGTCTCCGTACCGATCCGCAAGACTCTACTAAACTCGCTTATGACTCGTAGCACCTATGAACCTAGAGCTCTGATACCAACTTGTCACGACCCAATTTCCCCTCCGTTGGGTTTCGTGACGGCACCTAGTCTTAAGGACTAGGTAAGCCTAATATTTACAGAAGAACAACAATAATAAATAACATCATATGATTTTTCTAGAATGAATCCTTTATACAATGAGCATATTCCCAAAACCCGGTAGTACAAGTCATAAGCTCTACAGAGTTAGCTACCACTTCTATATAAACTGTTTGTAAAGGAGTGAAACAGTTGAATACAAGTAAGAAGGTGACTCCGAAGCCTGCGAACGCAGCATCAGGTTTAACTTGAGTCTCCTCAGCAATGGTCCGCACAGCTACTAACGATCGACACCTGGATCTGCACAATGAAAATGTGCAGAAGAGTAGCATGAGCACACCACAGCGGTGCCCAGTAAGTATCAAGACTAACCTCGGTGGAGGAGTGACGAGGAACAGTCAAGACACCTACCGGTCTAATAAACTATACAAATATAAGCATAGGAACAACGGAACATGATGTATACATATAAAGACTATACACCATGGCTAACAATACAACAATCACAGTAAGGAAGAAAAACAACAAGTAATAGCGGAAATACCATAATAATGACATAGAAGAGCGAGCGAAATCACAAACCCAAAACCTAAATCACAAATACAGTAAAGGTAAGCAATAACTCAGAACCTACGACAGTGTTCACAACAAGTCTTAGCCAACAGACTCCACGAAATACCGAACCTCGGACAACTTACAGCTCACGGGTCCCAAAACCTGAACCCTAACACTTGGCATCTTGTGCCCCCATCACAACTCATGGTCACGCTGATAACTCACTTACTAACTAGAGCTACTCTCACATATATGACAAGTAGACGAGGGTGTACATCTATACTCAGCAATATCAGGAGAACTTCATATCCAGTGGGAGTGTTCAACTACGAGTATGCTTGTCCAAGTACTTTAACATAGTTCCTACCAGCTAACAAGCATAAGGAAAAGAACGGACCGCACGTAAGATGTTCTCACAACTTTCACGAGATAAAACTCATACAGGTAAGCATACCACAACACAATATCAAACAGAAAGAATGCCCCAGGCCATCACAAATCATCACAATCAATCCGTGACATAGCCCACCTTGTCTCGCCACATGTGCAAATAATAACATAATAAGTGCCCGCCTTGTTTCGCCACACGTGCATCATAATGTTCCCACCTTGTCTTGCCACATGTGCAACCCACATATAAGCATATATATATATATATATATATATATATATATATATATATATATATATATATATATATATATATATATATATATATATACACACACACACATATTCTGCCTTGTCACGCCGCATGTGCAATATGTCAATAGTAGAAATAGCACGGCAGAAACCTCGTGCAACCCCATAATAATAACCGCACGGCAGAAACCTCGTGCATCACAATATCAACAACCGCACGGCAGAAACCTCACGCACCGCCACAATAAGTACCACAGCAACAATGACAATATATACAAGAACACGACAAGTAAATCAACTCGAGAACTTTTGATCACAAGGAGACGGTAAAACTAGCTCACAAGGAATAACCACAATAGAGAATACTAAGCGTAATAAGAACAACTCAACAAGGGAGAAAATAATGTGAAGCAATGATCCCACAATATGTAGTTCAACAACAAGGAAGCTAACACGAATCAAATAATTCCAAATAAGGAAATGTCAACTAAATATAAGATACCTAAACTTCTTTTAAGGTTGGGCAAATTACGAAGAATATACAACAATTTCAATTAAGGATGCGCAGCGGGAAGATAATCATAACCTCAATTAAGACTAAACAATTACAGGGGGATAATAATGGTTTCCAATAAAGACAAGCAGTTATGAAAGATAGCATGACAATAGAAGAGGTAAAAATCTTCAATTAAGCAAAATAAGAGTCAAATAGGCAATAAGAAAACAATTAAAGCATGTACAGATGAAACTAGTAAATGGAAGCTCAGTCATATCAAGAACAACTTCATACTGAGTGAATACAAGGACCTAAGAACTCTAAAAGGCTAACTTTCCACAAATAAGTCCGAACACGCACTCGTCACCTCGCGTACACGGACTACAATCAACATAGAAGACTCAAATCCTAAGGGGAAGTCCCTCACACGAGGTTAGGCAAGATACTTACCTCAATCCGGCCAATTCAATACTCAATTTAGCATTTCCTTTACCAATTCATCAACGCTCGGCTCAATCTAGCCAAAAATGACTTGAATACATCAAACAATGCAAGAGAAAACAATTTCAATTAACGAAACTATGATTCTTATACAATTTGAAAAAAGTCAACAAAAGTCAACTCCCCGAGCCCGCACCTCGGAACCCGATAAAATTTACAAAAATTGAATACACATTCCGATACGAGTTCACCCATACGAAAATTATCTAATTCCGTTACCATTTGGTCCCTCAAATCATTATTTTATATTTTTGAAAGATTTCACAATTTTTCCCTAAATTTTCCTTTAGATTCTCATGAATTTGATGTTAAATCTAAGGTATAATCACAATATATAGTTGGAAATTGATTAGAGACACTTACCCAATGATTTGGTATGAAAATCTTCTCTCAAAATCGCCCACTCTCGGAGTTAGGGTTCAAAGAATATGAAAAATGAGCAAAAACTCGAGTTACACAGCTGAAAACAAGTTGCAGATGTCGCATTTGCGATCCAGGGTTCGCAACCTTCGCAATTGCGAACAAGGAAGGGCTGGAAAAGGTCGCATTTGCGACAAAAAGTTTGCAATTGCGAACTGGGCATCGCAATTGCGATGGGTATGTTCGCAATTGCGACCATACCAGAAGCAACAGTTTTTTCCGACACAAAAATGAGCATAACTTCCTCTTACGATGTCCAAATTCGATGATTCTTTTTGCTATGGCTCCGTAATTACGATACGGATCTAATGGTTTAATAAAAACTGAATTTGGAGCTCATTTGCTTAATGTGGTACCCTTTATTCCCAAAGAAACGACGTTGAAACATCAAATAAGAGCGCAATACAATCCGAAACACATTCGAGGCCCCCTGGACCCCGTCTGCACACACAAACAAGTCATATAACCTGACACGGACTCGCTCAAGGTCTCAATCATATCAAACAACGTCGAAACGACGAATCACACCACAAATCGAGCTATGAACTTCCAAATCTTCCAACTTCGAAAACTTGTGCCGAAACCGATCAAATCAACCTGGTATGACGCCAAATTTTGCAGACAAGTCCAAAATGACATAAAGGAGTATCGCATTCCGACCCCGATATCACAAAAGTCAACTATGGGTCAAACTTCAACTTTTTTAACTTTCGCCGAAACGCCTCAAATTACCCTACGGACCTCCAAATCCGAATCCGGACGCATGCCTAAGTCCAAAATCACCATACGGAGCTGTTGAGATCACCCAAAACCCATTCCGGGGCCGTTTACTCAAAAGTCCAATTCCGGTCAAATTCTCACCGTTTAAACTTCCAAAACTAGTTTCCTTCTTCCAATTTGACTCTGAATCATCCGTTAACTGAATTCAACCATGCACGCAAGTCGATACACATATTATGAAGCTGTTCAAGTCCTTACGCTGTCGAACGGAGCTTAAATTCTCAAAACGACCGGCCGGGTCGTTACAAGTAGAGACCTACAATTATATTTGACTCCTTTTACGAAGGGGCTCATACAGTGATACAGATTACATGATCCTTTCTTGGAAACCTCCCAAACATAAGATTTGATATGATAATGTTTAGAAAGTTTATTATCGAATTATCAAATGATTCCTTCTTACATGAAAACAGACAAGACCGATTATTATTACCGATTTTGAAAAGGGCATTTACTTCATGATATTTTATGATTATTATACAAGCATGTTTTCTGACTTGTCCCAGCTAAAAACGGTTGTGGTTAAGTGTTATTACTCACTGAGCTAGCGAGAATTCCGTTAATTAGAGTACACGAGTTGACAGTTTCTGGTGAAGCCCGCATTTTTTCGCGTGGGCAAGGATTGTTATTTATTTGTTATAGTCTCTTTCATGAAACTCTTAGAGTCTCTCCATAGTCATTTTTATGAGTATCATGAGTTTTTTTTAATTGATATAGATTTGTGACTCGTATTAGACTTTCCTATCGTATTTTAAGAGATGGAGTTAGTATTATTGTGTTGGGAATACTTCATTAATAGGAATATAACTTGTTTTGGTGGATATTGGTTGGTTGTGTTGTTAATTTCTAAGACAGGTTTATTTTTTGATAGTCCTAAAACAGGAAAAACTCTGTCCGATTTTTGTAAAATACCGATGAGACTTACTTGGGAGCACTTGCTCCTAAGTCGGTTATGATCCTAAATTGGGTCATGATTGTAAGTACGTAAAGTCTCATCGCTGTGGTACTTTTTCCGAAGCGCCCGCTTACAATTGATTGGTTTAGAAGTTAGAGGCAATCAACAAGTTCCCAAGTATGATTTGACATTATTGAATTCATCTCATCTTTAATAGTATCTTTCCAAAAGGCTGCAACTCTAGAAGCCATAGCTTCTTTATAGGTTATTCTTACAACTGTATCTCTATTATCTTCAACAAGATTAAAAGAAATACTATAGGAGTCAATCTCAGCCAAATTAAAGATCAAGGACCAAAAAGTCCAGTTGCTTCAATGGTCCTCTCTCTTTGCAACCTCTACAGAATATTTGCCTGCAATATACATTATTTCATGAAAGTTGTCACAAAAATCTGCTAAGAAGCCAATGATGTAGCATTTTGTATGATATCTTAGTAATGTCATATAATTTCAAACTATAGTAAAACATGTAAATACCTTTTAAATGAACTATTTTCAATAATAATTATACAATTATGAGAAATGTCACATAGAAATCATAAAACTGTAAAGAATCCGAGACCAATAGGAAAAAATGAATCCAGTTTTGCAGAAATTTCATTACCAAATTTTAACTTATTCTTGCCACTATATAAACTCAACATGATTGTGCAAAACCACCATACAATCATGCAAATCTTTGTTATAATGGGAAATCGGGAACTTTCAAAAATTAATCTCCAATATAATGTTGTGTCAATAATATATGTCAATATTTTAAGTATACAACTTAAAAGTGAATTTTATTAAATATTATTCATAACTTTATCGACTGTTAAAACCATTATGCAAAATTTCAACAGTGTCTTCCCTAAACAGCCTAAACTAGAAAAAGGACAATATAAGATTACAGGATTTAACTAACTATATCTACTGGCAGTGTAATAAAAATCTTACACCGCCAATGAAATGTTTTTTTTTTTTTTGGTTTCCCACCCGGTGTCCGGTACCCGCATTGGAGCCCGACTATATCCGGATTCCCGCCGCGTAGAGCCCCATTCGGGGGGGAAGCGCTCCCTACCAAGGATTTTTCCATACCCAGGGCTCGAACTCGAGACCTCTGGTTAAGGGAGGAGCAGTCTCATCCACTGCACCACATCCTTTGGTGGTGCCAATGAAATTTAACCTACTATAGAAGGTTACATATCTTATTTTTCATGAGACAGTCACACCTCTCAATAACAACACCTCACTATAGCATTCAAAAAAATTCGGAACAAACGCGGTTGTTTAGCTTCTGGAATTTCCTTAGCTCTGCCAAAACTATGATGCACAATGCATTCATGAAACCTCTAGGCTAGCATTAAATGCATCAGTCCCTTCTTTTATTCCTTGTATCAGCAAGACATATCCAAACAATGACGTAGAAAATGATTCCGTAAATGATGAAGATGCTTTTAATGATGACAAAGATGATTATGGCTATTTAGAAAGAAGATTAGAGGACAACAAAAAGAAAAAAGATGTGCAAGGATTTGAATTTGGATTCATTCATGGACAAGCAAAAGGAATCATTCGAACTTGCATTTCATATTTTCAAGTTTGGATTCAGACATTTGATGTAAAGATAATCAAGGGCATGCCTATTTCTCCAAAGTCTGCTCTACAGGGTGCTGAGCTACTCTCCTACTGTGATTTTGCATTTTTTGTTTTGTTTTTAGTTTAGTGGTAGTGAATGTTAAGCAACTAAAGTCCAACATATCCACAAGATGAGTGTTGCACATATGAGAATGCTAAAATGGATGTGCGGTCATACAAGATTATATAGGATTAAAAGTGACCACATTCGCCACAAGGTACTAGTAGTGAGCATTGAGGATAAAATGCGAGAAGATATTGTCGACAAATATAAGTAATTATATCAACTGCGTTATATAGTATCATGGTGTATTTAACAAAGTAAAAACACGAAAAACATGAGGTTGCTTTAATGAGAAAACTTACCATGAAATTTCCAGATTGGTTTTTCTCCATTAGTAACAATCTCAAACATTATACGATCTCCCACCTCTAAGTCATTTGCAACACGAAATTCACCCCATCTACCTCCAATATAGACTCGAGAACAGGAAGTATACAGCCTTAAATTCCATGACCTTTGTGTTTCATCTCTAATAATCAAACCACAATTCTTGTTGGTGAGACCATTTTCCGCTGCAAATCGAGTAGGAATGCACTGAAATTGTTTGTAGTGATTTCCACATTTCATCAAACATTTCATATGTATCATATTTCATTATAAATACCTCCAATTCAAAAAGAGAGAAAACAAAAGGATTCTTCAAGCGTTAGGGTAAATGAGTTTGGAGACCTACAAAGTAACCATTTAACAAGCCATAAGGTTTATAACAGATTTGCACATATCATCAAACTTATCATATGCTTCATATTTTCGCGGTAATTGATTTTAGTTAACAAAGAGCGGAAAAATGGTACATATATCTTGAAGGGTTTGGGGGGAAATGAATTTTGAGACTTACCAAGTAACCTTTAAGCCAAGAGGCTCTAACAATGCATGAAAAATGAGATTGACCAAAAGGGTTGTGAGTAGCAGCTTCTGCATTTGGTTTGTCCGTTACATTGTAAATTGTAAGAAAATCCATATTAAAAATTAAATAAGTCAAAAAGATTAAAGTAGAAGTAATGTCTAAACATCCACCCCATCTTTTGGCTAAAGTTTCTAAACAAATTGAAATTTATGTCAAGATAAAGGGAATCAACTTGCAAATTCATCAAGTATATAAAAATGGACTCTAAACATCTTACCTTTGAATTCAACATTATTGGCTTCTTCTTCGTCCAGCAGATACTCTGTCACGGTGACTCGAATCAAAGATGGTAACCTCAAACTCCATGTTCCCTTCATGTCTGAACACCAATATATCTCCCAATTGCAGATCATGCTCCTCCGCAAACTTTCCCCAACCCTCTTCCAATCGATGGTCGTTCACCTTCACCAGCCACTTCTTACCAGTTACCACCCTTTCTTAGTATTGCATATTCATTCTTATATCCCTTCAGATACCTCAAGAAACCTACAGGAATTTTCTGCAGTACAACAAAAACTTGTCCCAAATCATTATGCTGTTTTGTTTAGGCCCTGAAACTCTACCATATTCCCTACCTTTTTTTAAGCAGGCAAAAGTTGAATTATCGTTAATCACGATGCAATTGCAGTGCAAAAAAGGGGGCTTCTATAGTTTCCTTTCACTCCTAATAAATTCAAGGAGCTTACAAAATCTAAAAGCATAACTGCATTATTCACATTAAAATGGTTACACCAAGCAAAAAGGTTCAATAAACATCTAGTCTTCAGCACATGAATTGGAGTTGAGACTCCATCAAAACACCTCTGATTCCTCTCCTTCCAACCAAATAACACAAAATGGGACCATTTTCCAAGTCTTTATGATAGATTTCCCAACTTTCCACATTTCACAGCTAACAAATGCCTCTTCAGAGTTCAGACAGCCGGGCAATAACCATTTCACTACAAAAAAGCACAAAAACATGTCCCAAGCCTTCATCTTTATAGGACCAGGGGCGGATGTACACCATAGCTACAGGTTCAGCCGAACCCAATAGCTTTTGCTCAGACCATGTATATGTATTAAAGAAATTCCATGCTTTCTTGTTGGATTTTAAAAATGTCCTTCATGCATTTCTCCAACCTATTAAATATGTACAAATATTAAATTCCGAACCCAATAACTCAAATGGTTAGTAGATTTAGTGGCACCTCGAAACCATAAAGTACAAATCTTGGATCCCCTCTATATAGGACGGTGTGCGGATGTACAACATAGTTACGGATTCAACCGAACCCAATAGGTTTGGCTCAAACCCTTATACGTGTTAAGGAATCAATTAAATATGTACAAATATTAAATTTTGAACCCAATAACTCAAATGGTCAGTGGGTTTAGTGGCACCCCGAACCCATAACGTTTAAGTCTCGGATCCCCTCTATACAGGACAATGCAAAAACAAATAGTCTATATTCTCATTCTCTGTTAATATAAATAACATTTGTTGCAGAATGCCTGCTATACCACTGTTTCTTAACTTCTCTTGAGTTAAACATGCCCCCAACACTGTCAACCATACAAAACATGCCAGTATTGTGGGAGATTTTGTCTTCTAAATCAATTTCCAAGGCTAATCATCAATGACGCCCCTGCTCTACTTAATTTACCACAATATTCCGTCAATGTAAAACTTTCTTTCTCTTTGTCTACCCCAATGTATGGCTGTCCAACAGGACGGGCCGTCCCGTCCCGGTTCCGTCCCGTCCCACTTCATTCTAAACGGGATGGGCCCATGTTAAACGGGACACTGGATGGGACGAGATGGCCATTTCGTCCCGTTTGTCCCGTCCCGCCTGTCCCGCGTCTTTTTTTTTTTTTGAATTCTAGCCGTTGGGCAACGGCTTCAATTGCAAAAATAGTCGTTTCCAACGGCCAAAAACGGCTATAATTGGCCTCCATCCCCCCAAACTTTTAATATAACCCCTAAGTTTATTAAATTACACTTTGGTCCTATTTTCTACTATAAATACCCCCTCCTTCTTCATTTTTTCCCACAAAAATCAATCATTCTCTCTCAAATATCTTACATTCTATCTATATTATTCTCTCAATTTTCTCACTATCAAGTGATAACTTTCAAGTATTTGGGCAAATTTTTGGAGCAACTTTCAAGCTTCAAATTAATTCGTCAAGTATGTGGAGCAATATTTTGGGCAATTTCTTCAAGTTTCAATATTTAATCACGGTGCACTCGTTCCATCTCCTAATTTTAATATACAATTTTTGCGTATCATTTTAGTGCTTAATTTTTGTGTTTACTTTACGTGTTCTATTTTCATATTTCATTTGTGTGTTTAATTTCTGTGTTAACTTTTTAAATTTAATTTCGTATTTAAATTATGGCACCTAAAAATGTATTTGGTTTATTTAAAAAAAGTAGTTAAAAAATAGTAAAGGTGAAAGTAATTGTAATCCTAGTCCTAATCCTAACCCTTCTCCTAGAATTAGAAAACATATAGATGAAATGACTCATATTGATGAAACTTCATTTTCCCAACCCCCGCATGTTATAATATTGATTTCGGAGAACAACTAGATCATGAAACTTTACAAAGACAATTTGGCAATGATATTTTTTTGAGGACGAAAAAAATGAGGATGAAGAAAATGAGGAAGAAGAATTAGATGAAACACCCACTAGTCCTGCAACACAAGCTCCAACTCAGAGTCAATCTCGGCCTGGAGCTTTACCCCCTGTACCTCCTTTAAGGGATAAGCCTAAGGTTGAACGTCCCAAAACATCACTTGTATGAAAATTTTTTAAACATGATAAAGTCAATAATCGTGCTATATGTGAAAAATGTAAGCAACAATTTGCACACACAAAAAGTGGTGGGACGGGGGGTTTAACCAGACACTTACTTAAGGAGCACAAATCTTTATGGATACAAGCAAACATAGAAGCCGGAAAAATTATGGATCCTAACACCGGTACTGGTACTCCTAGTGGATCTGGCGGGGGTTCTAATTTTTTACAACAGCAGCTTGACCCCTACTTCTGGTACTGTTTTACGCCCCTATAACAAAGATAGAGATCGTGAGAACTTAGCAAAAATGGTGGTTGTCTGTGACTTACCTTTTACTTTTCCTTCTCACCCTGCTTTTGTGTATTATATACAAGAAACTTATAATCCTGCTTTTCAAAGTTTTCCTAAGACCACGGTTAGAAATGATGTTTTTAAATTTCAAACCGAATATCTTCAGTATATTCGTTGTGTATTTTTCACTTAGATTGTAAAGTGTCTATCACATTTGATATAGGTCGTAGTCCTAATGGTTGTGATTATTTAACTGTTACATGTCATTGGGTTGATCATCGCTGAAATTATGCAAAAACGTATTATTGGTTATAAATTTGTTGATTCAAAACACACTGGAGCATATATTGCAACTACTGTTCTACAAAAACTTGATTTTTATGGACTCATTGATAAAGTTTTAACTACCACCTTAGATAATGCTTCTGCTAACACAACCGCAGCAACTAGCTTAAAAACTAGACTTTGTCCAATTAATCCAGCAATTTTTCATGTTAGATGTGCATGCCATATTTTTAACTTGGCTGTAAAAGATGGTATTAATTTATTTTCTGATGCTTGTAGTAAAATACAACATGCTTGCGGCAATATTTTTCATGCTAATAAAGCGAGTAGACTTCGTGAATTTGCTCAACAATGTGCTAGTGCTAACCTTCCATTTAGAAAAGTTCCAAAAAATGTTTGTACTAAGCGGAATTCTACTTATGAAATGCTTAAAGTTGCTTATGATTATCGGGTGCCTATACAAAAGGTATTTAATATGCATAATGGTATCCCCACCGATCAAATTGTTGATTCTGAATGGGATGAGATCAAAGAGCTTACTAAATTTTTAGAAAAGTTTTATTATGCAACAAAACAATTTTCTGGTATATGTTACCCTACTGCTACACAAATATTAAGGTATATTTTGTGGAATTTTTGTTGTATTTGGTAAGTATAAAACAAACCCAACTTATGCACCGACCATTAATGAAATGATTTTAAAATTTAAAAAGTATTTTTCCCTATTCTCCAAGTTTATTTAATTTCTACTCTACTTAACCCATCTTTAAAACTAAGAGGTGCAAAGGGACTTGTTCGTAAAATTTATGAGAATTTAGCAATTCAAGAAAATGAACAACCATCTCTCGAAGACTGCCAAGCTAGCATATATTCTTATGCTAGATCAATGTTTGATAAATATAAATCTATGAAAACAACATGTGGTGAAACTGCTCCTTCTACTTCTAAGTCTAGAGCAGAAGTTCTATGGGAAGATATGGATGATATAACAGGTTTTGATTCCTCTATTGGAAAGTATTAAAGACGAAGAAGGCAACGAACAACTTTTGGCATGGTGGAGGAAGCGTGGCAAGGCTTTTCCAACACTTTCAATAATGGCCCGAGATATTCTGGCTATTCAAGCATCATCAGTAGCATCGGAGAGTGCTTTTAGTGCGGCAAGATTTCAAATTGGAGATCAAAGACATTCATTAGCGGAGGACAATCTAGAGATTCCGTATTATTCAGAGGTTGGATTAATTCAGAAAGAAGAAATCTTGGTTTTGAGAAATTAACCACTAGGGAAGAAGAAGAATACAATGAGATACTTAGCATTGAGAGCGATGACGGCATGGAGCTCATGGAACATCAATCAACATTGCAAATTCCAGAACAATGTCCGAGAGAAATTATAGATAAGTTACAAAGAAGCTATATAGGAGCTTACAAATATTAGTATGATAATTTGTAATTGGCTACTAAGAGGCCTAGTTCAAACAGAACCATTCGTAGAAGGTGGCTGCATAAATTAGGTGCTCTTCAAAAGAATTATATTTGTATGTGAGATGTGAAAGTTCTATTAATAAAATAAAAGGCTCTAAGCGTTGAATTTTTTTTATGAATTGTCTTAGTTACTTAATAGTTTGAAATTATATTAAATAAATTATAACTCTATTATAATTACTACAATATTTCATTACAAGTCTTTATTTTAATATTTTATAATTCCTTACTTAGTTTCCTAATTTCCGTTTTAACATTTAAGTTTATTAAATAAGTCAAAAAACTAGCCGTTGCAAACTTTAAAAACTTAGTCATTGTCAAAAAACTAGACGTTGCCAAACTTAATGCTTAAATAATTTTTTTTTAAACGACACTTAAGGCCCGCGAACCCCCGTTCCGTCCCGTCCCATCCCGTTTGTTAGCGGGAGGGGATGGGCCTACCGTTTCGTCCCATTTCGTCCCGTCCCGCCACCGTCCCGGTTAAATGTCGTCCCGTCCCGTTAATTTTGTCCCGTCCCGTCCCGTTGGACAGCCATACCCCAATGTAGGTAGTCCCTTCTCCTACTCCTTTTTTTTTCTTGATAATCATGGTATAATAACCAACTTACGCACACCTTTATTAATTCTACGGGATACCTGCTACCTCCTACTAGTACAGGTATAGGGTAACTCTATCCACAACGGCTAGGAAATCAGCTAGTATTTTGCCTCCATTGAGATTTGAACCTGAGTGTTCTCAACCGACTTCATTGACCACTACGTCACACACTTGTGTGCTAGTACCTCTTATATCATTAGGGGTTGTTTGGTATATCGGATAAAGATAATAATCACGGGATAAAGTTCGGTATTAATATTATCCTATGTTTGGTTTGGGGTATTAGCTAATCCGAGAATAACTTTTATATTAAAATGGTGGGATTACGGATAACTAATCTCATAGTGGGATATCCCACCGTTGTACCAAACGACCCCTTGATATCCCACCATTCAACCTTCCATTTCATACATAATACATAAAGTAGAGGAAAGGAAAGATGAAATAATTACTAAAGGGATTAACTCACCAGACCCTGCTTGAAACCTGGTTGAATGGGTTTGAAAAAATGAGGCTTCACTGGAGTGATTTTCATAGCCAGCGGTCAAAAATTGCAGTTAATGTCGACAAAGTATCTTTTTTCTACTTTGTGATTGATATAATTGAAAGATTGAAACTAAATTCAGTTGAGGGGATATAATTATTTTTTGGTAAGTGAAACTTGAAAGGGAATGGCAGCTTTTCAGTGGACTGTGACGAAATTGTGCAGCTATGTCCTAATGTTCATTTGGAGAAATGCAAAGACTGAACAGAGACATCAGCTTTAATATTGCGGGAAAAGTGGCAAGGGTTAACCCAGAAGAGAATGAGAAAGTAAAACTGATGGGAAATTGGTAAGGGAGGGG